GCAATGTTATTTAGCTGGGGAGAATTATGTAAGCAATTAAGAGCCAGGCAGAGACCAAGTCCTGCCTTATCAGACACACCCAGGCATTATGCAGACACTTTTCATTCACACCTCTTTTTCTTGATTCTCTGGTATTTGTGCTTAAGATACTGACTTTAACACAGCAACAGACAGTACCAATTAATAGTTCTGTATTTATCAGCTACATCTGCTGTTTGAAAAAATGGGAAGCAGACACCTGGCACACCTTCAGAAACAAAGGTACATCCCTTCCCAAGCAGAACAGTAGATACAGGCCTTTGCCTACGAAGCTTACCAGATGAAGACATTTTCTTTAACATTTGCTTGATTACTTTGGTTTGCGTTTCATTATACAGATGGCTGAGTGGTTTTGTAATTTTATAGCTGGCCTGTGCTAGTAATTGATGTGGTAGTGTCAGTCTTACTGAGGCTGGTTTGGAAATGCATGGGGTTGTATTTAAAGCCTCTAGTTACAATGCAAGAGATGAATTAAATGAAAGAATGTTAAACAGTGTTGGGGTTTTTTTGTGGACTTTACATAACTGTACTATTGTCCCAAGACAACACTGGAATCAGTATATCAAGGATGAAGATCATGGCTGACTTTGCAAGTCCTTCAAAAATGTAACTCCTACATACACAAGTTGTGTACCTTTCTTCCTGTCTGTTTTCATTAACCTAAAATGAAGAAGAAGTTTATTTTTAATCCAGAAAAAATAATTTATTAACCTTTAGACTGATTGAACATTAGCATGTGAGAAAGGAAAATTAAAACAAACAAACAAAGCCCACAATAAACTTATATTCCTTTTCACTCCTATTTCAAATTTATGAATCTAAAAGTAAAGAAACCCCTGTACTAATGACAAATCTACATTATTTTCTGGAGGTAGAATGATGATCTTTAGCTACGCCCTCCAAAGTCTCAAGACCTCATTATCTAAAAAATTACTTCTTGACCTATTTCCATCACAACAACACGGATCCATGTCAGTGCAGCCAGTGACAATAGTTATGCACCTTTGCCTGTAGCAGTCTGATATGGTTTAATTTTAGCAGCTTTCAAAGACTGTATTTGCTTGGACTATTGGCAGGTGTTTTGTCCTTACTCTGTCGCCACAATTTGGTTCTCATTTGGGATAGAGCTGATTCATGTCACTGGACAAAGACAGTCCAAAATATCACTTAGCTCTTCTATCTGTTCTCCCATATGCAAAATACAAAAATTGACTAGATCCAGGAGATGCTAAACCTAAATTTTAGAGACCCTAGATATTAGGAGAATCAACTCCCCTGTTGGTAGTGCTCTTATGTTCTTCAAATACTTGTAGAGTGGGAGCCAGAAAAGAGGATTTGCAAAAACCTTACTTAGCCAGTAGCAAGTGCTAAAATCACAGCGCCTTCTCTTAAAACAGATGCACACATGGGTAGTTTGTCTCTTTTTGCTTCTTTTGCAATAGTAGTGAAAGCATGTGTGATGTCCAAAGCCAAATCCCTCTTTTCCCTGAGTAGGCTTGAGCCCTATGGAATACCCTAAAGGAACAACCTGAAGCTGATGGCTTTTAACCAATAAGCCCCATTTACCAACTTCTTAAATTCTATTCCTATAAATGTAGCCAGTTCTGAAAATGGTCAACAGCAAATTCCCTACTGCCTTGGGACACCTATAACATATTTGGACTGTAGATATCTAACGAGTTCAGCAGCATTTCAGGGAGCAGACAGAGAGATGAAGCATCCAACTGTGGACACTTAAAGCCACAGCAGGCATGCTGGAAGGCTTGGACTTTGCCTTACAAAACATGGTAAACAGCATTTGACAATTCACTCCATGGCACTTCAAAACTAGCATACACAGAGTGAGAAGGAACAGTTCTTCCTTAGATGGTCATTGTAGGAATAGGTGATACCCTGAGAAATGTACACCACTGAAGGCAGAGAAGGTAGAACTGCAAAAAGACCACAGAAGGTGGTGGTATTTTTCCCCTAGGGCATGTTAAAACAGTGTTTTTTGCAAACACTGAGAGAAGGATCTGACTTTCTGAGTACTATTTTTGTCACTTAGTCACTTATAACCAGCAATAAATCTTCCACTGGTGATTTTGTTGAGGATTCATGTTGTACAAAGGAATTCAGCTGACTACAGTTGTCAATTTTTCCCTGTAACAGAGTAAAACTTGTTTAGTCAGTAAACAGATATGTCCTGAAGGGTGGAAGAATAGATCTATTGGGCAAGAATTTCAAGAAGGTAGTTTCTACACGCTTGCTTTTGAAGTCACACTTTTTTCCTACCTAAAAAGGGCTGTTATGCTTATTTAAGATTTTCTTTGTTACCTTTGTTTAGATAGCACCCTGAACAATGTCATTAAATCACATAAGCTAAAGAACAGTTTTTACAAAGCTTATAGATAAGAAAAACTGAAGGAAAGAGAAGCACCTTGCCTATAGCGAAGAGGAAACTAAGAGCTTAGATGATCACATTATTGGCACTCAACTCTAAGTTCATTGAAATCACCCCCCAAACTGCTGTTCACAGTAACAGAATTTAGCACAAGCTCGTTATTAATCACTAGAGACACACTCCTCACATTTGGTCTGTTGCCTAAACCTGTTTTAAATCCTTTTAAAAAGTCAAAGCATTTTTGTTGTGCCACTTAGAAAAATTAGCCAGTGAATAGGCTGTGAAGAAATCATGTTTATTTTAGGTAATTTAGAGCTTTGAACCGTTGTTTTGCAAGGCTATGTAACTTCATGATCCAGCTAGCACCCACATATAATCCTAGTAGCAAGCCAACTCATTGTCACACTTACTTCTTTTATCTCCTGGCAAAGTAAACTGCTCAAGGAGACTATGTGATTTTTTTTTTTTTTTTGTGCTGCTGCAGTTAAGCAGATCGTAATCTGTTTTGAAGATGAAGTAGTTCTAAGATATAAATAACCAGTGCCTCTCCCAAACAGTTTTCACCAATTCCTTCAGAAAACTCACAAACTCAATGTGGTTCACTGTAAAGCGTGAGTGATGGCATCCAATTTGACTTTTCAAAATGCTCATGCGTGTGCATGTTTCTGTCAGGCTTGTGGATTTTGACTCAGTGGAATGTAAAAGCAGAATCCAGTTATGGGGTTTGGGTGGATAATCAGAGCAGACCTTCCTTCAAGCTGGGAGTTGGTCAGCACCAGAGCCCTGACTCAGAATATCACTGAGAGTGATCTCGTTCAAAGCCATGCAAGTGACTCACATATTTACTTCTCTCTCTCTCTCTCCTCTTCCTTTAAAGTTAAAATACTGGGCCACTTTTCTGACATCAGCTCACTGCCATCCAGCTATCAGCTGAAAGTCAACACAGTAAAATGTTAACCTTTCCTCCCTGAGGTCCCTCCACCTCAGGGAATGACACTTCCACAGTCTCTGTTGTTCTGCCCTGTAACATCTGCCCAGCAGCCACACCTCAGGTTTGCTGGAACCATAGTTTGGCCATAACCTCACATGCCATTCCATGGAGCATCGCTACCATCCAACTCCCCACCTCCATCCCTGTGGTGACAGCTCAGGCATCAGTGATGCCCTTCCTGCTGCAGCCTCTCTTGCCTGGGTCTCATAAACAGCGTCCTGTCCCCTGAAAGTGCCCACCGAGCATGGCCAGGTGGCTGTACCCATCTCCAGCACCGTGTGGAGGCTCATCTTCCTCGGGGGGGCATGAGTGTGGCCTGCATCTTCCTCAGCACAGCTCCTCACTGCCTAGAGTTCTCCATCCTCCCTCTCATACATGTAGGATATACACACAGGAGAGGGATGGAGTACCTCTCCTATGAGAGAATTTGGATCGTTCAGCCTGGAAAAGAGAAGGCTTTGGGGTGACCTTATCGTGGCCTTTCAATACCTGAAGAGAATTTACAGAAAAGATAGGGCAAGACTATTGACAAGAGTATGTAGCGATAAAAGAAGGGTGAATGGCTTCAAATTCAAGGAGTGTAGCCTTAGATTAGATATGGGAAAAAAAATCTTTACATGAGAGTGGTGAGGCACTGGAATATGTTGCCCAGGCAAATTGTGGATGCCCTATCCCTGACATGGTCCGGCCAGTCTGGACGGAGCTCTGAGCAAGCCGGCCGAGTGAAAGGTGACACTGCCCATTGCAGGGGGCTTGGAATTACATGATATTTAAGGTCCTTTCCAACCGAAACCATTCCACGAATCTCTGATTCGTGCCGTGAACACTGCTGCGCTATCTGAAACGCTGCTCGCCCACCTTCTCGAATATTTTTCGCTTTTTTCCTTGTGAGCTTGCCGCCATGCGGGCAGGCTGAGGTCTCATGCTCCAAATCGCACAGAGCCGTGTCTCTGAGCGGCTGCCTTGGCCAGGCCCGGCACGGCCCCGCCGAGCGCAGCGCTGCCGCCGGCCGCTGAGCGAGGGCGAACAATGCGCCGCTCGCAGCGGGGCCTTGTGGGTAGGGGAGGCGGCCTGAGCGGGGCCGGGGAGCGGGAGGCCGGGCCGGGCCGGGGTGGGCGGAACGCGGAGAGAGCGGCGAGGGAAAGCGAGGCCGGCGGGGATCGCCGCTCCCGCCCCAGCAGCCGGCGAGAGCTGCGGAGGGAGCCGCGCTCCGAGCCCGACCCCGCGGCGGCCGCTCCCCCTTCGCTCCCCGCCTCCCCCCGCCCTCGGAGCGATGTCCCGGTGGAGCGGGCAGTGAGGCGGCGGCCGCCGAGGGACGCCCTGAGCGGGGAGAGGCGGGGGCACGGCGGGAAGCGCTCCGTCCCTCCCTTCCAGCTCTCTCTCCCCTCCCTCTCCCCGCGCCGGGCGGAGCAGCGGCCGTTTTCCCTCGCCCTTCATGCCCGGGCGGCGGCCACCGGTGGCGCTGCCCTCCGCTCCCTCCTCGCCGCCCCCGCCCTTCCCGGGCTCGCCGCCGCGCTAGGCCCGCCGGCGGCCCCGCGCAGTGCCCTCCGCGGGCCCGGCACTAGGCGGGCCGGAGGATGAGCCAGCAGCCGGCGGGGAAGATGTCGGCGGCTACCCTGGCGGCCGAAGCGCTGGAGCCCGCGGCGGGGATGCTCGAGGGCCGCCAGAGGAAGCTGGAGTCCATGATCCGCGACCCGCGCTCCCCGGTCAACGTGGAGAGCCTGCTGGTGAGGGGCGGCCGCGCCCGGGGGGAGCGCTCGGCGGGGGAACAAAGGGAGCGCTCAGGCGGGCGGGAGGGAACGGGAAGGAAGGAAAGGGCTCCCGCGTCCTGAAAGTGCTTTCCTGGGGGAGGACGAAGGATCGTCTCCACGCCCCCGGCCGGGCCACCGGCAGCGGGGAGGTGGCGGGAGCGGCCCTCGCCCCCAGGACTGTGCTGAGCGAGGGGACGCGCACGGCGCAGTGAGAGAACGAGCGCTCCCCGATTATCTGCATCTTATTTGGGGGAAAGTGAGAAGCGTCCCTGGCGAGATCTGATCCCCGGAGAGGAAAGTGCCTTATTTTCTCTCCCAGCATCGTTCACACCGTTCGCTTTCGCGCCTCGTAATCACAGCGTGTCCGTGCCCAAAGTACCTGCCTTTGTGTGCGCTGCCGGGCACCCATCGCTCACCCCCTGTGAAACGTCCCCTGGTGAAGCTGAGGTTGCTGTGTGATGTGGAAGTAATTCAGGAAAAGGGGACACGCCTAAGGGAGAAATGTAACTGGGGGGGGTCCCGTAGGGTCACATTTATTTTTCATAAGGCAAATTGATTCTTCGGTATCCTGTTTTTTCAAATAGCATTTTTCTGTGTGAGTGTATGAAATACAATTTACTTTAGTGAGAAATCTGTGCCCTCGGGAAGAAGTGTAGAAGGGGTTAGATTTCCCCATTAAACCACCTAATAAACTCTAGAAAAGCAGCCAAGGGACAGATTATTATCATTATTGTTATCAGTGTTTTTATCATTATTATCAGTATTATTAGTATTTTAACTGAACTTCAGTGTCTTCAAATCTTTTATTTCCAGTCTGCCCCAAGATTTCCAATGTGTCCCAGTTATGAGGAGCCGAAAAAGGGGGAATAAATCCCAGTCCTTCCAAGAGTTGCTCAAGGCACTTACACTGTGTCTTTTTTTGTGCTTTCAAATGACTCAGTTCTGTTTGGCCAAAAATACAGGAACTGACTGAACAGAATGTATGCCTGTGCTGTGTGGAGAATATAGGAATTTCCTATAACATCTGAAAAATGTTCTTCCCGAGGCTGTGGTGCTGTATTACTCCTCTCATAGACGTTCAGAGGCATAATGACAGCCATAGTCAATGGAGGGGAGTGGGAAACAGTGCTATATATCTGACTGGATTCAGATAAGTTTTTGCCTAGGCCAAAGCAAAGAGAGCTGCCTCTGGGCTTCGCTCCCAGCATTTTCACTTTGGTATTTTGCTAGGAAAACTTTGACCTGTGGCCAAAAAAGAACAGTTAAAAATAGTACAGTCGTTCTGAAAAATGCATCAGGTTAATACTTAACCCCAGTAGACTTTTTCACACTCTGCTTTTATACTCAACAGCATGATTCTTTTATTCTCTCACCTCCCATGCTTTGGACATAGATTGAATACACTAAGATATGTTTATATTTCTGAAGAGAAATCCTAGCTACAAAATTGAGACTGGGCTGCTTAGAACTAGATTTTTTAGTTTGTTTGTTTTATGTTTATATGCTAGCAGTGTAGATTGCTTCATGTAATAATACATTGACAAAGCAAACCATGGGAGAGTGTTAGCTGGATTGTAAATGCCTTATTTTTACAGTAAGGGTTATCACTGTTCTCTACACTCTGTCTGTAAGTATTGTTTAAAAAACTAGCAGCAAGTAAAATATAATGCTAATCAATCAAATTTCCTAGCTTGTGTAGTCTACTTATCTGTGTATGAAAGAATGAACTATTTATTATTATTATTATTTAGGAAATTTGCAACAGATTTCCTAAATAAATTTTTTAAAAGCGCTTTCTTTTGGTTTCTGGTATTGTTGCTTTATGCAGTTTGACATTAATTTTTGCATTGGTGTGCTCCTAGATAGTCTGAGTATGAAAACATCATATTCATATTTAAAAATTTACTTGTTTACTGAATAGCTCACTTTCAGTGTAAATTATCAAAAGGGGAAATGTGTTTTCAGTTAAAAGTAGAAATACAGCAACATGAACTGAGAGTCAGGGAAAGCATCTTAAAAAGACTGGCTGGAATGCCACTATTCCATCCTCCAAAAATAACATAACCAAAACTAAAAATGTGGAATGGAATTCAAAATGGAATTCATTTCCTTACAGTGTAAAAAGTCATAAACAGCTGCTATTCTGTATTTTGTGTGCATGCTTTATTTTTGGGAAGCCGTAAAAAGCAAAAAAAGTAGCTGTTAATCTATAACACATGGTGTAAATTTGAAAGACGTGAGAAGCTGAGGTAATAAGCTGTCTTTCTCTAGATAGCAATTCCACTGTCATCAAGAGATGTTTTATTCAGTGGCTCTAAATGAAGAGACTTTCTTTGCGTACCTTCCTGACCGCAGGATGGCTGACCACATCCATCTGTTTCTTCAGCAGGAGAATCTATGAAGCCAAATACATTGATTGATGATGCTCCTCCCATCCCCCTTCAGGGCTCAAGAGAGACTGTTAGATTTTCTAATGGGATTTTTGCTCTCTTGTGTGCCTTAAACGTTGTTATTAATGCCTGTGTTGAGCATAACTATTTGTGTTTGATTAAAGCATATCTTCCAAAAAGACCTGTGCATTCTTAATTCAGAGGCATTACAAGATGGAGAACTCCACATTTAGTTTGTTCTCACAGGCAGCTCTGAAGGCAGAATAAAACATCCCAGAAAACAACCAACCAGCTGAAATGTGTTGCATGGTTATTACTACCCTTTTTCTGCTAAATAAAAAAAAAAAAAAAAAAATCATGGAAGACTTTCTACTCATTAGCACAGATGAGCTGCACATCCAGCACTTGGTGGGGTTCTTCTGGTTTTGGTCTGATAGAGAGATGAAAAGAGGAATGCTAGAACTGTGTACTCAGTGCTGTGATAGGTGTCAACAAAGACATCCACAAAGGGAAGTGGTTATTGCAGCCTCATTGAAGCATTGGCTGAGTGCTCCTTCTCTCATTGTATCTTGTTGAAAGCCTGTTCTTAGGTTGCCTATGCTAAGATAAATAATTTTGGTATTGTCACAGCTTTTCTATGGTGTTACTCTTTTTGGGCATGTAACAGTGCATTAGTGGTTATGAAAACCTGTTCTCTGTATTACATTTAGATCATGCAGGTTACTTCATAAAGCTACAATGTCTTTTCTGCCAGTTGTGTCATCCACTAATTTAATGAAGTGACATTTTTATGTGTACTGCATGTACACATGGATGGTAGCACTTAATGGCATTTGACCTTGGGTGATCCATAAGAAACCCTTCTATAAATACATTCCCACTGAATGGTTCCGAGTTGACAGCTAAATTTAAGAAGAGCTTAACAGTGCTCGAATACATTTGTGCATTTATGATTTTGCATATAAGCTCTATCTACAGTATGAACTGAGTTATTTTTGATAGTATTTAATACACATTATCTAGGAGTGCATTGGCAAGTGTTACCTGCTCTAAAACAAGAGGAGATAGGTCACTGTAGGCTGTGTAAAACTAATCCAGACCTCCGCTTCCTTGCCATGTGTAATTGTATCACTTCAGCACAGTTGTGTGGTGGTGATGAGCAGCTCTGGTCAATCTTACCATCCTCTTCCTGCAATGCTTCGCCTGGCCTGGAGCTGCTCGAGTGCACTTGTCCAGAGAGAGGTGCTGGTATTTATTTGCCCTTGGACTCACTCTTTCAGTGCAAGCCTCAGGATTTTAGTGTTAAGCTTGAAGTTTGATATTACACTGAAGGTGTAAAATGTTGAGTATATTCTGCCTGCTCTGCTATGGTTGTGTCAGCTTTTGAAAGAAGGAGCTCTTAAAACTGTAAATTAGGCAGTGCAGCAGTGAAATTGTGAGCACGGTGCTGGGCTATGTTGGAATGCAAGCATGGTGAACTGAGAAATGGAGGGATGATTAGCAGGAGAGTGCTCAAGTGTCTCAGAAAACACATGCCTTACAGCTCAAAAAAACCCAAAACTGAACTAATTTGCCATTTATTTAATTTTTAAATAAAGCTGACAGGTAAATTGTGTATTTACAGTAGTTTGAACATGAAATAGATGTTCATCTACATGGATTATTGCCATCAAGACCCTGGAATTTTACTCTTAATGTAAAGTGGATTGGAGATACAGCTGTGCCTCCCATGCTTTCCGTTGGTGCATAAAGATCTCATCAATTGAGGAGATGCCAACCTTGTTACCGAGAGTGTTAATTGAGCAGGTCACTAGGCTGAGCTCTGTTGATTCAGGGTCTCCAGGTCATCATGGCAGATACAAGGTATCCCTCTGCAGGATTTTAGCCTTAGGAATTTTCTAAGTATTTCACATTTAATATGAAAGTTGTTTCACTTCTGTGAATTTATTGCCACCTATAATTTTAAATCAGCAAGAACAATCTGTTGTGTTAATTTGAGCCAGCGAGTACAGGGAAGAGATGGAAATGTAGCAGTTAGCAGGATCTGATCTAAAATTCATTGCCCACTAAGTAATTGGAAGGCCAGATGATTCTGTGTTCTTGAAGAAATAACATTTTCTTGTTTGTTGTATTTCCTGTGCTGTTATTTCTCTGTTAGTTTCCAACTCTTTTTATAAATATTCTATTTTTGATCTGTAATTTTAGAGCATCTACTGCAGAGTTAAAAATTATGATCCTTAAGGCAACAGAACTGTCTTTTGTTAATTGTTCCCCTCTGATGAATTTATATATAGCAGTATAGTTAGCTGGAAAAAGATAGTTCTGTTTTTCTGACCGTTTTATGTGTTTTTATATTCTGTCTTATTCTATACTAGGATTATTGAAATGTTTCACTTCTGGTTTGAGTAAGCAAAACGAACATTTTGCTCAGCTTCAGGCCTTTTTTCTGCCACATGAGATGCATGCAGATTTTGTGTGTGTATTCACAATAGGCACGTTCACTCCCAGTATTTCATCTCTGTTTATCAGATTGCAGAGTGTGTCATTAGTATCCTTTAATTGTTCAATCTTTTTAACAATTTAAGAGAAACATAAATACACCTACACTATCAAGTTTAGCAGAGTTTTCTTCTGCTTTATATGTGCTGGAATAAAAATTCAGGAACTGTTCACTTTTCCAAATATTAGTAGTCTCAGTTTCAGTTGGAATGTGTGCAAATGCTCATTAGAACCTGTTTTTTAAAGTACATTTTCAGTTCTAACTAATGGCAGAGCAGTGCCAAAGCATTTGGCTCTTTGTCTAGTAATGCAATCCATAACAAAAGCTTCCTAATTTAAAAAGAAAGAAAAGTGCTACCTCAGTAGCCAATCTCCACAGTAATCAGTTGATGATTTCTTGCCAGTGTTTGATCTACAAAATATGACTGGAATTGTATCAGTGTCACACAGGAGCTGACTTTGGATTTTAAAGATGAAAGTGATTGAAATTTGGTAGTAGAGTTTTACATAATGAAGGATATTAAAAAATTAAGTCTGTGTATTTTTATAATTCATAAGCATGGGGAGTTATGGGGGGAAGAATGCTATATTGTGTCCAAGATTTCTTCTAAACTGTTACACTGAAAAGCAGCGAGTGTTTCTGGTAACAAATTTATTTAAAATACTTTTTTTCTTGGTACATCCCATTGGTTAAGAAGAAGAATACAGTGTTTATACTGGCGGACTTGGCTAGTAATAAACCTATTTTAATGAGCTGTTCGCAGTGTAAACACAAGTTTGAATGTAGTGCTGGGTTCCCCAGCCGTGCCCGGTGTGAAGCTGCAGCAGCAGTGCCGTGTCCGAGCAGCCCCGATTGCCCGGAGAGCAGCGCTGTGCCCGCCCTGTGCCGGCTGCGGCATCCTTCATGGGCAGCATTGCATTCAGTACCTGCTAACAGAGTTTTAAGACTGTATGCTTAAATCAGTCATTGGGCCCCTAATGTGCAGAGGGGTTGGAACTTGGGAGATTGTGATTTTGTGAATTTTGTCCAGATTTCACTGTGTTGGATAATTTCAGTCTGTAACAGGTGCTTTATGTGGTATGGACTTAGCATTTTCTCTGTCTTAGTTCCTGCTGCTACAGCTATTGAGAGAGGGGCGTTTTTTGTCTGTGAAGTATGGAGTTTTGTTGTTGGATGAACGCAGATTTCTTCATTGTCATGTGAAATATGCCTCCTGTTCAGTCTCTGCTTCATTTCTGGTAGAGTGGAGAAGGTGATAGACATGAGAAGAAAGACAATCTGGGTGCCACAGTCAGTGGGTTTTTGATTATGCTTGTCTTCCATTAATTTTATTTCATGTAGAATGACTTAGATAAGTCAAATCTTTTGCAAAAAGTCACCAGTCACATACTTGGTGTTTTCTGTGTGCCCAGATGGACACTAATGAGTTTTGATGTTAGCGTTCAGCATTGTTGCTTTAATTCCATAGTCATTTCATTTTTTTTTTTTTTTTTTTAGGATAGTGTTGTTCAAATGGTACAGAGAATTAAAAAAATGCTGTGCAGGAGGGTCTGAACCCTAATCTACTGGTATCATTTTATGGCTTCAGACAAATCTTCATAACTAGCTATATGAAATGAAAATGATGAAGCTTTATTTTTAAGATGTACTGGGGAAGAATTTAATATTTAGAATAAACTTACATGTTTAAAAAAGATGATCACAAGTAAGCTATGCCTAAGTGTTTAATTTCAAACCTTGAGGATTCAGGTAGTCAAGTGATTGCTCTATTACATTTTAACTGTTCTAAATCATGGGTACTGATTTCATTAGTCTGTATTTAAAGTATAGAATTACAAAATCCTACATAAAGCAAGATAAGGTTTGGGTGACTCATCCAATCACAAGAATTTTCTTGTACTTTTCTTCAAGAGGAAATGAAGAGGAGGTCACATACAGGCATGAAAGTAGGCTTGAGCAACTATGAAAAAAGAAAAGTTAAGCTTTAGCAAATATTCTTATTTTTTTTAATCTCAAAGCACACAATATTGACTGTTACTGTCACCAAATAAATAAATAACTGGAAGAAAAAATGCCTTCACACGTTCTTGCAAATGCTATTTAAAGTTTAACTAAAATCTTGATTACTGTTTAAAGGCTGAAGCACTTCATTGTTCTTTGTCCATGTCACTGGTGTTACATGTAGACGTCCAAAGTCTATAGCTTAATTGTTGATTAAATATCAAACATAATTGTCTTAACAGCATAGATTTACCCTAGTATGGTATTATATAGAGGGAAGGATCTTCAGGTGTTCTTTGGGAGTTATTTTTATTGAATGAGCTCTGAATTTGGAAATCTGCTTGTGTTTTTTGCTACTGTACAACTTGATTGACCCTCTTTATTTTTCTTTTATTTGAAATAAAGAGTGCTGCATTGATAAATTCACAGTACTGTGTATGTGCGTACTTTCAAAGATATTGTACTCTAGAAACAATAATAGCATGGGTTTTGGGGTATACAAACATTTGGATTGCCTATGCTATGAAAATATTCTCTTTCATACAGAAAATAGTTTTAAACTGGTTTTCCTTGTGGTTTCTGAAACTAGTTTGTTCTAGTCTCTGTTTTCAGTTTACTGCTGATTATGTTAAGTGCAAGATTAGGGAGGAAAGCCTTGTCATTTATTGCATGTTTAGGACACAGATTTTTATTTGTAAATTACTTTTAGCACCGTCTGCTATCTAGGGAAGGCTATATTATATTATGATAGGCTTCTAAAATGTACAGCTAAAGTAATTGAAAACAAGCTGCAGTAAATAGATAAAAGATCTTATGGGGTTACTTAATATTGGTTGCACCACTTTTTGCACAATTTTATGCTTGATTTCTGAATTAGGATTTTTTTTTTGTGGAATTTTAAACTTTTGTGATAAAATAACCACGAAGTCTCTCAATTTAGAAATAGAATTATTCCTTCTAATAGTTTAGGAAAATGGAGAAGAGCAGGAAATAATACCACATTGGAAGGTTTTGGTTTAGTGAGTAATGAAGACCTTTCCAATGCCAGGGGTATGCATGCATGTTCTGTTTCCTTTAGGGAACATCTTGGGACCTCCTCCTCCAACAGTAAAAATTAGCCCACTTAGGCATTAAGACTTAGGTCATCAATTCAATGACTTCTTAAGGTGTATAAACTTGGATTATAAAATACCTCCCCTCCTTTTATTTTATGTTCTTTTATATGAAAAGTGACTGAGAACAACTGCTTGAATTACTCATCTGGCAAGGAGGTACTGACAGTTTATTATTGTATTGCAGCTGCTGCTATTAATTAATTACATTATTATTAAGATAATTCTATGTTAATTTTTTTTTCTCTGTGAGCACAAAATAATTCTGTTAAACTTAAGACTTGCATCCATACTGGTAATACAAGCACTTGAACTGAGCTATAGATATAATAGAGAAATCTGAAAATAATTGCACTTAAAAAAAATCGTATTACTAAATTGTTAAGTTTTATAAAGCCATTTAAAAATTGCTTTCAAGTTAATTTTTCAGTATTAGTTTAATTATATGGAATGTGCTTATTTTTTATTGTGTTTTTAAGTTACTTTCCTTATTCCCCACTCATCATCTTCTTAGCACTGAAGGATTTGTCTTGACTCTGCAAATGTGACATTATTGCCAGTGATGGAGGACAACAGCAGAACACTTGTCAGAATTCTGCTGGTAAAACCTGAATGTAAGAGCAGACGAGGCAGCCTGAACATTGTTTTGTATGCACATGGTGTTCTGTGTCAGAAATATTTTAAGCTTGTATTAAAAGATAAATAATAAATACACTAATATAAGCTACATCTCCTGAAAACATATTATGTTGGTAATTCCTTTTAATCATAGACATCTAGCTAGTTCTCTGTTTTAGAAATGATTTCTGCTAGGATTATGAAGAAAATCTCTAAATATGGACACTATGATGAAGAATGGTTCATGTGCGTAGAAGCCTGAAACAGTAGCACCATGAGGTGTGAATCATTTCATCTATTTTAATGGTTGACTGCCTCTGAAGAAAGGCAATTTAAGTGTCAAAATAAACTATTTCAGTGCTCTCATTTTTTTAGAAGAAATACCGGTATTTGTTCCCACATGTGCCTTGCAGTGTTTCTCAAGTGGCAGAAGTCCCAAATGTCCCCTCTCTACCTGTGAAAACATCTCTGGCAAATTTTGACAGATATAAAGGGGGAAATGTAACTTTAAAAATTTCGTAAGGTATGACGTCCATTATTTGAAAAGCTCCTGGATTTATTTTATGTGACTCTACTACTTCACTGAATCAGAAAATTAGCGACAGCATTGAGCCCAACTGCAGAGCTTATTTACATTTTCTACATAGAATAGAGTGTTCTGCTTATGCCATATTGCTGAAAGAATGTTTGGTATAGGTTGGGTAATAGTACATATGGTGATAGGGTATTCATGTTTTGAAATCACACTGTCTAAATTTATGAGAGAAGATGTGCAGTGTGTCATACAGACAGATGGGAATTAAAAAAAATGCAGTATACTTGCAATACAAATTATTTTTTGTTAAATCAAAGCCAAGTGAATGTACACTGAATTTATATTTATCAGTGTGTTACATCAAATGGATGCTGAATATCACAGGGGAGAGGAATGGCTGTTTTGTCTTTTTTGACTATGCAGGAAGCATGACGGAAGAAAAGTTTTAGAAACATTTTATTCCAATATAGAACTTTTTAGTTCTACTTTGATTTCAAGCTTATTTTCTAGAGTTTGCCAGAAGAGGCTGCCATGTAATTGGACTCCTTTCTTGGCACACAGGAAGTTTTCTTGGATTTGTACACAGACTAAATTTCTGACTAGTGGAATTTGTATTAGTTTTACTACCTTTATGCCTTGATTTTTTTTCTCATGTGTGAAATCTTAGCACTGTTGGGTCAGTTGTCCTCTAAAATGGAAGTGGGGGAGAAACAAAAGGGCTTGAAGCTGTAATATCATAGGATCAGTCATGCTGAAAGCACATATGGGTTGTGAGAGAAGCATAACAATTTATCTTTTGTGTTTGATTGCATGTAAATGTAATGAAGAAGTCATTATTGTGGTAAACTGTCGCTGTCATCTGTAAGTTTGTGTCTAATAACAGTAACTCAGACTGTGTCAGGGTTCTCTCCTGTAGCTGGTGTGGTATTGTGCCCTGTCCCTAGCGAAGAAGTTCCTGGCCCGAGGTTGTCCAAAAGCATTGCCGTGGTTACAGCAGGAGGACTGAAGGCCTCACAGATAGGTTCAGGTGCTGCTGTTGTTTCACAAAAGGATTCACAGAATACCTTTCAACTGAGAATATTCCATATATTCTTCTGTGCATCTGTGATTTAAGTCAAACCCAGCAGAATAAATCATAATTTAGACTTAATATGAACCTTGCCAGTGCACAGAGTGAATGATGGTTTCCAAGGCTACATCTATAGCAGCACATGAAAGAAGAGCAGCACCAATTATGTCATGTTATTCTTGAGTTATTTCTGAAAATCCTGGTCTTTGAGTAAATTAACATATCCGTGTATTCAATAATCAATTTTTTGTATGTCTGAACTCCCTTTGATGGTGGGGTGTATGTAGCTAGTTGTATGCACATTTTCCATGTAGGGTAATAATGAATGACAAGAAACTCAAATCATTTAGGGACCCAATTTTGTCTAGAATTGCCTGAAACAGCAGGGTCATGCTCTTACCTACTCAATGTGCAGTAAAGCTGTTAAACTGTTTCTTCTTGATACAAGGGCTTTGTATCCTCAGATTGAAATTCTGCTTTCGTAGAGAGTTACTAGTGATTCTGCTTTGCTGTTGGGTAGTGCTACGCTGTTGGGGCTGTCCTGTTTCTGGTTAGGTCGTGGTTGTGTGCTCTCCACCTGTGTATATTCATGTAGGATGTATTCAGAACCACTCTTACAAGAGACCTATGTAAATTTTTTTCTTCCCCATAATCTTTAACCAAGTGCACACACTTCTGACCTGAATGGTCTTGATGCACGAGTTTTTTCTTCAGATGTAAAAAATGTGATACCTTGAGGAAGCAGCCGATGCAGATGGCTCTTGTCGGGATTAATCTGCTCAGGTTTTAGGCAAATGTTTTCTTGCCTTTCCACATAAGCATCACTTGTTGCCAAAGCTGAAGGAGAATTTAGGAAACATTCAGTCTGTGGGAAAACTGTTTTCCACTTATAAAACCATGAGGAATTTGAAATCTATGTTCTATTTTGCTTTGCTTTCTCAAGTAATTTAGGATATTCACTTAGCCCTGAATTTCTTGCCATATTTTTATTTAACAGTTGTGTGTTTTTTTAATTCTTTGTATTCCAAAGATATATTTGCTCAAAAAAAAAAAGAAAGTAATTATGGTGGAATTTAAAACACAAGCTAAATAAACTGAAAAATATTCTTCTATTTCAAAATTCCTTTTTGCTACCATAATCTCAGCTGATATATTTGATACCACTTTATAAACAAATTCTGTTAGAGTTTTAATTGAAGGCAGTCCTGCATATCTTCTGTAAATGACAAGGTGAAAAGGCAGGATTTCATTGCCTGCATGTATGAAGATAATACCAGTACTTTGTAGGCCTATATCAGTTGGAAAGAATATTTTATATCTGGTTCAAGTTTTACAGTGGCCAGGAGCCTTTGCTTGTAATAACTTTACCTTGAAAAGGCTGTGAAACCGTCCTGCCATTCTGAAGATACAAGGTACTTCACTGTCAGATTGAGACAAAACTTCCGGAGGATGTGGGTTCCTTTGTGAAGATCTCTATCAGCCATAGACAAAGATGTTACAATGTCCATGGGGGATGAGGGAAGCCTAAAAATGCTGTAGGATGCTGTCTCTGTTCCTGAATTACTTCTAGAAGCAGAAGGAGATGAGATTTTGCAGACACGAACTTAGTAAATATGTGAGTACCATGATTAGGTCAGATAACTCTGGTCTGTAATGTGGATGTAAATGTAGCAGTAATTAAGACAAGCTTAAATGCTCTCAGGTAGTCTATAATGCTCTGAAGTAGGATACAACAGAGAAGCTGGCCCTTTTATTTTGGAAAAGGTGGGCACAGCAGAGGACAGATTTGTTCTCAGATATAAGTACAATAATTATTATTAATGGCAGCAACTTTTCTGCCTTAGGACTAACACATTTCGAAGAGGAACAGACATGGTCTGTTCTTCTGGTGGTCTTGATAATTAGAATAAGGTTTTCTGGATTATTTTTTAATAGTCTAGATTTGTTTTTTTTTTTTTTTAAAGGTACATATATTTTTGTATTTAGTTAAGGGCTTGGCCCTTTAGGGTAGTACCAATCAAGTTTTTATGTATTTAACAAAAATACATCTGTCTCGGAAGAATTTGTAAATGAACCAATAAAATTGTACGGTATTAGATGAAGATACCAAGCAGCTTTTAATATGAGAACAAGAAATGCTCAGAAATCTGAAGAACAGAGAATTTTTCAGTCTGAGAAACTAAGCCCCAGTGATCTCAGAAACTTTTTAACCCATCTTTCTCATTTAGTCATATGAATCCATTTAAAAACAAATAGCTAACACAAATAGTTTCACTATCAGTTAAAGCAGTAGCTCCATCTACTTCCCTGAGGCACCACCTTGGTGGTGACACAATATTTGTGCTGGTGAGTTGTGAATTGCCTTGAGTACCTAACCTGGATTAAAACTAGCCTGAATCATTTTCTCAGCTAATCCTGGCAGATTTGCAGAACGATCACTAACCATAATAAGTTTAACAAGGACAAGTGCTGGATTCTGTACATGGGATGGGCAACCCCAGTTGTGTGTATAGACTGGGGAATGAGAGGCTGCAGAGCAGTGCCATGGAAAGGGACCTGGGAGTCCTGGTCACAGGCAAGTTGAACATGAGCCAGCAGTGCCCTGGCAGCCAGGAGAGCCAACCCTGTCCTGGGCACATCAGGCACAGCATCACCAGCCAGGCAAGGGAGGGATTGTCCTGCTCTGCTCTGCTCTGGGACAGCCTCACCTCCAGTGCTGGGGCAGTTTTGGGTGCCACAATGTAAGAAAGGCTTTAAACGATTGCAGAGTGTCCAAGGGAGGGCAACAAAGATGGGGAAGGGCCCTGAGGGGAAGCCGTGTGAGGAGTGGCTGAGGACACTTGGTCTGTTCAGCCTGGAGGAGACTGAGGGGAGACCTCACTGCAGGTACAACTTCCTTGGGAGGGGAAGAGAGGGACAGACACTGATCTTTTTGCTTTCAAAGCCAGGGAAGGGACTTGAGGAAGCAGCATGAAGCTGAGTCAGGGCAGGTTTAGGTTGGATATCAGGAAGAAGTTTTTCACCCAGAGCGTGGTTGGGCACTGGAACAGCTCCCCAGGGCAGTGGTCACAGCACCAGCCTGACAGAGCTCAAGAAGCATTTGAACAATCCTCTCAGGCACATGGTGGGTTTCTTGGGGTGTCCTGTGCAAGGCCTGAAGTTGGACTCAGTGATCCTTGTGGTTCCCTTCCAACTCAGCATATTCTATGAGTCTATCACAATAACATAAAAAACCCACAATCCTGAACCTCTCCAAAGCAAACTAAAAATTCACAGTGTATCTCCTTTCTTCAAAGAGCTAGATTCCAAGTAGATAGTGTGGTTATTGATTAAAATTTGCAGTGTACTTTTTCTGAATGCAGGCCATGCATGTCCTACCACGGTGTTGGTAATGCAATTTTGAAGAGAGCGTGGGGCCAAGAAAAAGGTTTTGTGTACTGCTCTGCAAATACTGCAGCTTCTTTCAGATTGCAGAGAATTTCAGTTCAGTTAGAATATACTAATATAAATAGGAGAAAAGAGAATGAGAGTAAAAGAATGAAATAAATCCTGCTATTGCATTCAGGGGTAATATTACATTTTCTTACTAGTCTGTGTACAGAGAAAATTGTAGAAACTGGAAAGGGTTTCTTTAAAATAAAACTAGTAAAAAGTCAATTCCGATTAGTACTTGCCTGTGTTTGAATTGAGGTAATTTAAATGGATTTTTTGTGCTTTAATCTGTTATTTTAGGAAAAAGCAGGAATCTGTGAGTAAACATGCTTGTTTTACAGATAAATACTGGCTCATATTTTCTTCTGGAAATAGTGGAATCCATCAACATAAGAAATGCCAAAATGACTAATTTCAGTTCTTTGCTGCCAGTGATTAGCTGAAAGTTGTTCTTTGTGCCGTGTTATTATTGCTCCATCTCCAATATGTAGGTTCTGTTACACTGGCACAGAGCAGACTGATACCACTGCAGCCTGCTTTGATACCTGACTGAATTAAATTACATAAATAATAATTTGACATTACACTTAAGCAGTTTTCTGATTTCACACTCTTACATCAAGGCAACATCATCAACTACATCAGTAGTTTTGGCATTGAGACAATGTTGCTTAAAGAAAAAAGGTTTTACTTCCAGTTTTGATGGAGAAGTGGGTATATTTATAATAGACAAAATTATTCTGAAGGTTCCACAGAAAATAAATGTTTAATTTTACAGTTGATAAAAGAAATATTTTTAATGATGGATACCATTTACAAATTAAGGAAATGGCTGATTATTGATGTATCCTTTTCAGTACTGGTTACAGAATTCTTTCAGAATTGAAGAACAGTTTGACCTGTAATGAACTTTTAAAGTCGTATAGTTCCAATCCCCCTGCCGTGGGCAGGGACCTTGTCCACTAAACCAGATTGATCAAAATCTCATCCAAATTGACCTGGAACTTTTCCAGAGACAGGGCATCCACAACCTCTATGGACAACCAGTGTCTCAGCATCCTCACTGTAAAGAATTTCTCCTTATGTCCATTGTAAATCTACCATCTTTGAATTAAAAAATGTTACCCCTTGTCCTGTCACTACAGGCCCTGCTAAAAGGTCTCTTAGTCTTTCTAATTAGCCTCCTTTAAGTATGACAAGGTTCCATTAAGGTCTCCCTGAAGCCTCTTCTCCAGGCTGAACAAAACTGATTCTCTGTCTTTCCTCATGGGAGAAATGCTCCAGCCCTCTGATCATCTTGATGCCCTTCCTCTGGACTCACTGTAACAGCTCCATGTCCTTCCTGTGCTGGGACCCCCGGGCTGGATGCAGCTCTGCAGGTGGGGTCTGAGCAGAGCAGAGGGGCAGAATCCTCTCCCTCACCTGCTGCCCACAGTGTTTGGATGTCCAGGGCACTTTTGGCTTTCTGGGCTGCAAGGGCACATGGCTGCGTCATGTCCAGCCTCTCACCCACAGCACCCCAAAGATCTTCTGCTCTCAGTTCCTTCATCCCCCAGCCTGTCTGGATTGCCCCAGCCCATGTCCTTGACTTGGTACTTGGCCTTGTTGAACTTCATAAGATTCACATTAAGAAGCAGGCCAATAGTTTACTGCAGTAACTGAAATTGGTATTCTTGATTTTTTGCTTGAAAATGTTAGAAAACTATGTCAAATACAATTTATGGAGAGAATAGCCACTTGCAGTGTCACCACAGTCAGTTTTACATTCAATTTGTTTCCGATTTGTAGCCTGATATTAAGCAATTCAGAGCTCTGCTTTGGTAACAAATCAGATTGAGGGTTGTAGAAAATATTTTTTCACCATTTGAATGCAGGAGCCATGACAGGATGAATTTCTGTAGTACTGGATCTCCTGGTCAGATAAGCTAAAGGCAGTTTTCTTTTCAGAGAAGTGGGGGTCCCAGGGAATAGCACTGGGGAGTTATTTTCACACAATTTCCTTTTTTTGACAACACTAATGTCAAAAATCAAATACAGCTGATCAAAAAATCTGTATTGTTATACTTGTTCAGATGTTGTCAAAATGTGAATATATCATCCCTTCACAAAAGAAAAGAAGATACTAATTTCTCTGTCATAGTGGAAAGCTTCTTTGGCTTTTTAATTCTTTCCCCCTAGATAAACAGAATAGATAGCCAGACATGGATTTTGAAATTACTTAACAAAGTAATTATTACTTAACAAATCATGAAAATGAAATGGATCCTAGAGAGATGGATTCCTGGAAGTCTTTTGAAAGACACTTTGGGGTAGGGGGAGTGTTTTTCAGATATATTATTAGAGTGCAGTTTTGCAAGCCTTTACATGCATGTTTAGCTTAACACATTTCAGTAAATACAATTAAGTGGGTAGGACTACTTATAGGCCCAGAATTAGACATAAGGTTGTTTCAGTGCACAGGGCTGTGGATTGGGTGGTTGTTGCCAGGACTGTGTAATTTTTCCTTGTCATCTCTTTGATATGTAAGATACTTGTTGTACCCACTTAATTCTAATCTCTCTTCTCATCTTAGAGCAGCATGGAGCCATTTCAGTTGAGGCTAACAAACGAAGTCTATTTCCTAATAAAAATATATTCTGTTTAAGTGGATTTTTGGCATCTAAGAGCTAATGTTTGAATTTGTGTTCTGTTAGCATGTAATTCTGTGAGCTTAGTCATTGCTGCTTTGAAGCCTAACAGTTTACTTTATGTGAAATTTAGTAATGCAATCAGTAATACTTTCAACTCATTTCTGTGGAATTCTCCCCCTTCTTTCTCAGGTATTTCATTGTGTTTTTGGAGTGAGTTTTTTATGCTTTATGGAGGAATAATTGGAGGAAGAGGAAAGGGCAGATGTCTCAGCTCCAGTGATGATTTTTTTTTTTTTTAGACTCCAGATGTTTTTTTTCTGTTACTAGAATATCCAGGTGAAAATTGGAGCATAACTGGAATATTTGCAACTGTGCCACTGTGATGAAAATCACAGAATTACCATTACTGATTTTTCACTTCATTAAATATGAACAGGTTGACAGAACCTTTCTTTATTTTTTTAAAACATTTTTCAATGTCTGTAAAGCATTGAATATTTTTCGTGGTGCTGTCAGCTTTTCTTTGAGATCATTGGTCAGAGTCTACAATGTTTCTTGTTGCATATACATATTCTTATATATATGTATGTGTGTGTATGGGTCTGTAATTGGAAGACAGTATTTCCTTACTGAAAGTGAGTTTTGGCCAGTTTTGTTTCATGTGCCTTACTTGAGTAGTTATGAAAATGTGTTACTCTTCATTTCTGCTATGATTATCTAAGTATTTACTTTCTGAGTTTTCAGCCTTTTTGACAAACATCAATATGTAACACTGGAAATAATAATAAGTATTTTTCAATATTTTTAGTGAGGAAATATATATATACTACCTGTCTTTTCTTTCCCCTGAGTGTTTCAGTAAGTTTTATCAGGTGGTATTGACTGAGAGATGTTTTCTCACATTTGTCCCATTATGCCAAATGTTTAGTGAAATGTACCTTGATTTTATACACAATTTGCTCCTCTTGGTGCAAGCTGCACTACCTTTACTAGGCGAGTCTTTGAAAAGCAGTTTCGACCCAAACTGTCTAAAAATAACCAGCTATCATCTTTTTTCTTCCCTTTTTCTCCAAATGCACACAGGTCATCTTAAAAAGAATAAATATATATCAAAATTTTTGAGTAAATTGTAGTATTTCCTAAGGACTAATATTGTGATTGTGGTAACTGCTAACGTCTTTGCTGTTTGTAATAGAAACTTTCTGCAACAAACTTAAGATGAAAGAGTTGAGAGAAAACACTTCAATGTCATGAAATGCATATAAAAAATGAGTTTGATATAAGTGAAGTGAACTGCAGTCTGTCTCAGACCTGCAGCACTGGCTGCCCCCAGAGCTGCAAGCTCTTTTTGTGTTCAGAGTTTGGGGAATTATATTCGTTTTTCCCTGAGTTGTTATGCCAGGCTTCCTGAGCTGTGGTATTTGGAAAATCCTGTAGGAAAAATGTAGCATCTGACTAGGAAAGAGGCAGCTTGTGCTGGAAAAGATGGTGAGCTTTTCTGTGGTCCTTAATTCTGTGGAATTTCATTGCCTAATTTTGGACCAGTGTCTCAAAATCTTAGGCTTCCAAACAAAGATGATAAAACTCATTTCTGTTTTGCAAATCTTCTTTGCTCAAGAGGAATGTAATTTTACACCACAATCTTCAGGTGAGAGATTTCGCTGGTGTGATGACACTGTAAGGGCCAGTTGATGTGTTCCTCAAGGAATGTTGAGATCAATTTGCAAAGTCTAAGTCTTCTACAGGAGTCGAAGGCAAATACTTTGAGACAGCTGGTCTAGCTGTGGAGTAACACTGCAGCGTTTGGTACAGCAGGACTAGGCTCCAGAAATCTTCTGTAAAATTGTGTGGCAGCACTCCAGCAAGATTTAAGATAAGCCTTACTTATTCAACTTTTCTGCAGTATGGGATAGGAAGTTGAGGAGGAAAAACGTTCAGATTTTTGCCAGGTGGGTTTTTTTTTTTTTTCAAGGGTAGGGAGGAAAGAGATTTTCAAGATGACAGTGCGGATACATGAAACTCAGGACAAACATTCTTTCAAACTACTTGATATAAATCCAAACAACACTTTTATGAGCGAGGTCATGACCATTGTCTTAAATAGAATGAGAAAGGAAAATTACTTGAAGAGGTGATGTTACTGTTTCTCTGTAGAGGACAATAGTTTGTGATTAATCTCTTCCCAAAATATGGCCTTACTGATATAGCTCTGTGTGTTTACAGCTGAAGGGGACCCTTGTGCAGTATGTCAAGATGATTTTCTTAAAATTATCTCCCACCTTTTCACTCTGGATTTATGGCTCTATTTCCTAAGCAAAAGAAGGTACTATTTGCATATGTGAAGGGATTTTATATAGTTATATAAATATTCACTGTTTTGACATTTTGACTTTCTTTTTATGTTTGGCAGGAAGTGAAAAATGAACTTACTGGATTACTCTAAAATATGTAGGGAGTGTTTTGTTCTTGAGACATCTGTCTGTCCATTTGGATGTGAACCATAACTTAGTGAAACAAAAACATTTTCTGTGGGCAAACTAATTGCTATTGATAGTATGCTTAGCATATTTTTCTTACAGAATTATGGAAGTATTTTCTATTCTGATTAGTATGCCAAGAAACAGTCAGTTGTAAAGATTCGATACAGCTTCTCTTCAAATCAAGTTATATTGGTAGAATAAAAGAAGCAAGTATTTTACAGCTTTCTGTTGTTTTGTTGTTGCTTTTTCCCCCTCCCTCTTTATCAGGTTTAAATGAAATGGCATCTTCTCAGGAGTAATTCCCCATGCATGGGACCGATCTGCCTTGGTTGCTGTATTCTTTCTGCTGCCTGTTCACTGATTATTTTACATTTCTGACCCTGCAGGGAGCAAGTTTAAGGAACTAAATTGCCGAAAATGAAAACAGCAGAGGACCTGTCCGGTTTCGCTCCCTAAACTGGCTTGCTCAGAGTCAGAAAGACATAACTGCTGAGGCAAAGGAGGAGTGAGGATTTTTGTTTAGGGGATAGGGAGACTGGTTTAGACTGTCCTGGAACTTCATCCTCAGACCTTGAATAGATCACTTCTGTATGCAAACATATGCTGCTTGACTGGTTAATCTGCAGCTCTGAAAATTATTGTGGGTTGGTGTAATTTACTTACTCATTGTTAGGTGCCTGCAACACACAGCTTTGGAAGCAAATGTTAGTGTTAACCTGCTTTCGAAGTTTGTTTTGAGAAGAGTTGGGTGGAGTAAGTTCTTGAGCCATCCATCCTGACTGCTGTGGATACCACCAATAGCATAGGCTTGAGCTTCCAATTTCTCTGTGGTTTTTATTCAACTGCTTCTTAATAGGGTCAACAATGTAATGGCTGTCTTTTGCCGTCTGGGGCAAATGAGAAGAAACAAGCTTCAAAAGGTTCTTTCATACTTGTCCTTGATACAGCATGTATATTTGAATGCCATATAATGGTATATATAATGGTATATATAATTATATAAAAATTATCAGTATTTGTCATTCTTAATGAAACGTACAAGCTGTTCAGTAATTTCATCTCAAAACCCCTCCCCTTAGAGCTATTTCTGATTGCTTTTCTTCAGTGAATTGAAGCAGAGCAATTACCCACATGTTTTACAGTTTCAACATTTCAACACTTGTTATTTGTGGAAGTCCTTCAGGCTTTGTTAGCAAATGTAGCAAAAGATGTGGCAAATAACTTCTTCAACATTTATTCCAAGGGTCATTCACTACAACTAGGCTTTTTCTCGTTTTACCTTTAAGACAATCCCGTTTAAATTATTTTAATTGACTCTCATATGTTTAGGCATGAGTTTCAGACTTACCAACTTTATTTTTTTAAAGCGTTATTATAAAATACTTTTATACATTCTGTAGAGTTAGTGTTTGCAATACATGTGACAATTTGTTTTTTGTAAGCCAGATATTTTGAGATGTTGAAACATAGAGATAGGCTATGTAGGAGGCATAGAATGCCTAGAGTTTATTTTTAAATCTAGTAGGTGCATTATTGCTAATGTCATGGAAGGAATGTATTAATATTCTCATTTACATAACCTTTTAATGGAGGGCTTAATTGTCTGAAAGTTATCTTGTTAAAGAGATGAAATGACATTACAGAGCTAAAACTAAAAGATTGGACAAATTTCTGTGTTAAGCTGTAAACTGCATTCCAAGAAATTACATAAAATAAATACTATGAATGTAAAGCTCCAACTTCATATGGCCACCCAGGTGCTCTGTTGATGAAACCCCAGTGGTTTATGCTGTGCTGTTTTTGAAGTGCTGTTAAATATTTCTATCAAAGATTTGATAATTTACTGACAGCATTTTTCAGTTATCTTGGCTACTTCTGTCAAATTCCACTATGCAGTCATGCTCACTCAAAAACTGTCTTTGCAGAATATGGAAGTTAAATGTTTTTAACAGAGTTACAACTTAAATTGTGCAGTAAATGCAGTACTTTCACAGAAAATGCTGAGATAGTATAATTTCATACAACAAATCTACAGAGCTTCTTTCTGAATGGTTATTGATAGTAGTTATTTGGAATTTCTCTGCTTTTGTGAAGTTGGTGGAGTGCCATTGTTTAGCTGTGGAGTAGAACTGGAGTATTGTTTTTTGTCATTGAGTTGACTGAAAACCAGCAAACTTTCAGAGAGCAGTGTAAAGAAGGTACTAAGGTGAGAGAAAAACTCCTGACTGCCTCCCAAGGCTTGTAGGTGCATCTAGAGGAAAAATGAACAACTGAACTGCTGTATCTAAAGAGAAGGATTCTCAAAAGTATTATTTAAAAGCTTGACTTTGCTGGAAGAAATTTCATGATGTTGAAAAGTTTGTGGTGTTTCCAGTCTGAAGGTTTGAAAAGGTTTTTTACTGTGAAATCTGATGAGAAGAACAGCAAGCATTGTTGAAGATCTCACATGTAATGAATAAAAAGATATTATTTATATGAAAAAATGACCTGGCAACCTGGACTGTGTAGATAAGATGAGTTTAAAGAGCTGCAAATGTGCTGGCTGAGTAAGACATTGCAACTCTGAAGGAGAGCTATGACTGTAGTCAAACATCTCATATTGAGAGCAGTTAATGACAAATCATGAAAATAATGCAAGATCAGTTTTGAGAAAGTGAAATTTTGCCTGGGAATCTAGCTGATATGGAGCTATAGCAAGGAAAGAAACCCAAAGAAGAAAAGATCAGGAGATAAGAGGAACACAGGAGCATGGCTTTGTTAGAAATTTACTTCTGACATTGTATTACTGGGTCAGCACCACTTTTAAAAAAAGACTTAAAATTAAAACATGACAGTTCTGCTGACTTCAGTAGAAACAAAACGGATCTTGACTGAAGTGCTGTATTGCTTTTACTTTCCTCCTTATTTCTGTACCATAAAGAGTTGGTTCAGTTTGGTTTGCAAGTGGAAGTTGTAAAAGCACTTACCTCGTTTTCCTGCCTGCTGTGCAGAATAGCTTACCTCTGCATTTACAGGAACAGTATTTCATGTTATCTGAGCTGCCCAAAAAAAATCACAGCATAAATTCCCATTGATCTTGGATCTTCTGTCATACTTTAAAATGTGCATTCAGTCCCTTTCTGTCCAGGAAGGGACCTCGATCTTTTAGAGAAACATGACACATCAGTAGGAAGGTTGTGCAGCTGGAAGGCAGCTGTGTCATAGGGCTTTTAGAGGGGTTGATGAAGGTCTCTGAATGTGTCCTCCTTTTTGTCTTGGTGAGAAAATTTAAAAGGAGAGAGTTGGTTTACTAAGATTATGACTAGTTGGAAGCATAATTACATGCGTGCCATAGTTACACAGTCAGAAAGTGAGTTTTCATAGAGCATCACAATTTACTTTGTCACAGCTACACTGAATGTTGCTTTAGTGTTTTCTATTGAAAATGTCAGTTTAGGAAAGTATGGTATCACACTTGCAGTTTTAAGTTTGATATATGCATTGTTTGGATAAAATGCAAGTCTTAATGTTGTTAAAAATTCATGCTTTTCACAGAAACATTCACATGGTAGCTCATGCAGATGGTTCTGTGTTATGTACCACCTTAAATTTGAGGCTGATCAGGAAATTAAAGAACTTCCCACCTAATCATGCACTTACTAGAGGATAGTATTTGAGCAGCTGTTCCTAGGGGTGGGCAGGTGCCCTATTCTGCTGTCGTTCAGCTGCTTTCTGTGGTGAGTGGAAGATTTTTAAAATGAAGTAAAGTATGATGATAATTTCTTAAACATTTTAGAAGATGAAAATGTCATACTATAAACTTCACACATACAATCTTAATTGAGGTAACTGAGGGGGTTGAAATCAATATATAGCAAAGCATGTTTGCAGATATATAGGTGGTTTCAGAACTTGGGGGACTTTTGGAAATGTCAGGTCTTACTGGTAATACTTACTGCTAATTTTCCCATAGTCAGTTTTTTCCTAGCACTTTTTTTAAATACAGAAAATCTAAAACTGTACTATTAAGAGGTTTCATATTTAAAATACTTCTGCTTGACAAAGGGAGTGAATTAATATTTTCATAAGCGTTCTTGTTAATTGAATATCACAACTGTAAATGTAAAATTGACGTGCAGAACAGTACATCCTAGCAAATAACCCTGAGTTCTGTTAAACTACATTTGGTGAAGAAGAGCAATGTTTGTACAGCTAGAATGGAATTCCATGTCCAAGATAAGGATAAGGCTGTTGCTCTGAGGGCAGCACTGGCTTTTATACAAAGCTGAAGAGCAGTCTCCTAGTTTTGAAAATGTCTGTGGTGCTGTCTTGAGGATGTGGATTTTTTTCTTCCCCTTTATAATTTTGAGACAAAGAGAAGTTGCCATGATGCAGCAGGAAAGAGCCAGCAAATAGTGGTGGGGAGGCAGTTCTGAAGGCTTCTTAGCATAGGGGGGAATTCTGAATGTCTAAAGGGATGTAAAGCTCCTGGTCTCAACCATAGCTGTAAGTGTGGAGGACAGGACCAGAGTGGCTGTGTCCTGCCTGGCCACCACTGCTGCTCTGCTCTCAGCACTGCACCATGGGCTGCATGGCCCAGGCTGTGGGGGACAGGGTGCCCAGCAAAGGGATGGTTAGGCAGCATTTTTATTAAACTGATCCTATTTCCCAGCAAAGCATGTTAGTTGCTTAGCTGAGTGCTGTGTTTAAAAATATGCAGAATGGATGAGATATGAGCTGTGACGTTGGTATAGAGTGAAAATTCATGAGTGGGAGGAGGAAGGAATTGCATCACTAATCTGGTGTCATTGTGCACCAGAAGCTTCCGCCTAAAATTGTGTGCATTTCAAGTTGCAGTGGGAATTGCAAATAGCAGTTGTTGAGATCATCCACCTCTTGGTTTGCAGTATGGGGTTAAGGTTGAGCTGGACTCTGGGCATAGTCTTCACTGCTGGTATTGCTCAGAAACAGCCATAGCCATATAAAATACAGCTCTATAGTCTGCATGATGCTCAGCCAATTCTTTGGGTATCTGCACAGGAAAGACTTCATTGGCTTGTTGTAGAATATCTTTCTCTGGGAACTCAGGGCACTTGTGATTCTGAAATCAGGGCTGTCCTCTTGGCACAAGACTATACTCTTGGAGTTGAGTTTTTTTTCCTTCACCTGTACCCGTTTTTATGTTGTTGTTGTTTGACCTGTACCCTACTCAGCCTCTGCTGTCTACCTGAAAGGTTTCCCTTTTGTCTATTCTGTCACATCAGAGGTGCTGGCGTCCCCCACTCTTGCTTTGTAAGCCTACTGGAATTGCTTTTCAGAGAATCATTAAGGCTGGAAATGACCCTTAAGATCATCAAGTCCAACCACTAACTTAGCATTAAAAAAAAAAATAAACTTCCATTTTCAGATTATTTCCCCTCACATTATTCGCATGGATGTAATGTGGGAAATTTTGCAAATAATTTAGAAATTGTGAATCATATTCTCTGTTGATGTATATGTACTGGTGATGACCTGAAAGAAATCTATTTTGCTGGCTCAACAAGCGACTTCAAGGCACATGGTTCATTCATTTGTTGATATTGGGAAGGACTCAGAAAAGACGTAGTCAAATCAGATTCAATTTATGGTGCATTGTGGGCTATTTTTTGATATATACATGTAGTACCTGCAAAAACCCAACATGGTCCTTTTACTGAAGAAATTTATGAACAAAGATTGTAGAAGTCTAGAACTAGTTCTAGAATTTTGACACTGGTTCTAGAATTCTCTCACTATGTTGTGTTAGTAGGATTTTAGGCTTTTACAGGAAAGAATTTTTTTAATAATTGGCTTCAGTTTCTCCAACATTATCAATAATTATGCAGCTAGGGAGTTAAATTTCCATTTAACTAATTTGCTTTCTTTTTAAAATAATTTAATAACTAGTTTATAATATATTTTAGTAATGGGAATTAAAGTCAGTGCAGAAACATTGGTTTATAATTGGAATTAAACTGTTCAGACTGAAAAAGCCATCATAATTTTAACTGCTCCTGTCTTCCTTTTGCCCAGGTCTAAGTGATAATATTTAGAATTCCTTTCAAAATGTGTTTGGAATGATCTTTGACATTTCCCTCTGTAATCCTTTTCTATCCTTTCATCTTTTTTATTATGGACCACCTTTCATGTCTGCATTATGTCTGCTAAAACTCTGGCCTGTTTTTTTCTGGTCGTTTTAATATTAACTTGGATTTTCAGTATCATGTTTTACTGTAGAAACCTGTCTGTGGATTTTCATTCTTCCAAATCCTTTGCATGAGCATATGTGATCTTGTTTTCATGCCAAACTGTAATCAATATTTGATGATTAATAATAGGTCTTAAATATCTTCTAATTCAATGACCACAGTATTTCTTAGCCTAACACTTCTTTGCCTATCCTTTGTAGAAGAAGTTTTATGTTGCTGCTATCAGGCAGACACAATCATATGTACTTTCCAAACAGGTTTCCATGACAGGTTTGTTATTCAGATGTATTGAAGTCACTGTGGGATCAAACAGAATAGTAGGGATTAGCTGCACATTAATGAATTTTCACGAGTAGTTGTTGTGGTAACTGTAATTCAGTGTTTCTGAAAAGTACATGTAAACGTGGGTAATTTGAGCACATAATGAAGTTAGATATATGCTTTCGAAGAACTGAAATTGTATTTTCAGATCAATGAGTCAGCATAAAGGATTACTTCTAGGAATTCTATTTTGGTATGTAACTAAAGTATTTCCACTGAGAGTGATGGCATTCTGAGTGAAGAGATGGGTTAAATATAGAATAGCATACTATGTAGTATAGGGTGATATCAAAATTTAGAAATAAGTATTAGAAGGTAAGCTGCGTGGTGGTCATTGCACTTCTAAGTGATGAAAATTAAAATGGGATTTTCTCTCACCTGTGTACCTCTATCTTCTTGATTTGTGTTCAGGAAGTTAGGAACCAGGAGCTCTCTTGAAAAGTAAAAGACAGTAAAGGTGCATATCAACTTCACAATGTGGTGAGTTTGGAGGAGATTTTTTCTTGAGAGTTCGGAGACTTGTATGTCGATCTGAAAATCACATTACTCATGGATAGAAGGACAAGTGTGCATATGTAGAGCAAAATCTTAGATTTTACTTCATCTGTAGTGAACAGAAGAGTGAGTTTACAATAGCTCAGGAATAATCTCTACTGTGAAAAAAGTGTATTTGCTCTAATTTCAGAATTTTGCAATAGTGCTTGTGTTAGAGATAAGTCTTTTATTGAATTGGATTTGAAAATAAAAATTTCCTGGGTTGGTGAAATTGTGCAAATAACACTAAATTTCAAATTCAGATACTGAGAATTGAGATGTCTGGAAAAAAAAGACACTAGTGTTTTCTTAAAGATAAATCTTATATTTAATGTATGGCTATCACTTGAAATTATTTTCACTCTTAGCAGCGAAAGTCTAAGGAACTTCATTATGATTTTAAGTCTCTTCTAAAAGGACTGCAGTTTCCTTTGCCAATTTGATGTGATTCCTTTTCACAAATGCAAACAAAAAGATCTTGTATACATAAGCACACCCAATTGTTTGATTTGCACCTACAGCTAGAACATTGGGAAGAGGAATGTTCTGGGAACTCATTATGCAAATGCCAGACCAAGTGTCCCACTTTATTTCAGAGTTACCATCTAGAGTATTACCAAAACAAATGGCCTTTTTTAACTAGAATGAGGTTTAACCAGCTGTAAAATTGATAATCAGTCATGGTATTTCAGAAACTGCAGTGTGAGTGGTTTTTACATTGTGTGTGCAGTAATGAAAGTCAATTTCCTAGAACATTGAATGTACCTGAAAGTAGTTTTTAAGCTACCCAGGAGAAATTTTAAACACTAAATTCTGTTGGCTTTGTTTTCACTGAGCAAGAGGTGAAATTGCATCCAGAAAAGAGTTCACCAAGTATTGCACAGCCACCCATTCCAGGCTGGATTATCATGTTGAAGGGGAAGTGAAATAAGGTTGGGCAGTCAAGCCTTGTTCTGTTTTATCCTCTAAGTTTCGATTTTTTTTTCCAGGCATCACTTCTAATATGTCTGTATGTGTATGCGGTTGTACTGCCACTCCCAAGATGTAAAACTTGGCTTAAAATAGATGCAGTATGACTTTAAAACATTACTAAAAGGTAAATAGGTTTTTTTGTTGTACATTTCAAAGATTAGAAATTTTTTTTTATTGCACAGGGCCGATACTAAGTCCCTCCAAATGTTTTCTGCCGGCTCATAGCCTACTTTGTAGCAGTAGCACTTGATTTAGCTGTTGCCAGAGCTGGCATTTGAATCCAGCCTCTGTTTTCTCACATTTCACAGAATTATTTAGATTGGAAAAGACCTCCAAGATTGTCAGAGGTCAACCTTTGACCAATCACCGCCTCATCAACAAATTACTCCTCCAGCCCCAAATTTCAAGGCTCCTCCAGCAGGTTGAGAGGATGACAGGCAAGATACAATGTACTACTGCTGGTTTCAGAATGGTTTATCTTAGTCTCTGTTGTTGAAATTCTTCTTTTTTTCCATGTATACTTCTAAGTTTAGCACGATGTTCTCTTTTGTGGAGAGCATGTAATACTTAGAGTGAAAGAAACTTGTCTTATTTCCATGCAATTATTTGTAGGGATTAAAGCAGTTCGTGTGAGCATGAAAAGGCAGTTTCTCAAAGTAATGAGAAAGTGGATCACTAGATTGAATTAGGAGTTTTTCTAGCCTAACTATGCTGTTCCCATAACTAATCAATAGCGCAGAAGTGCCTGGGACAAAGTGAAGAAGAACTCTGCCTGTTCAATTGCACTCTCCCAGCTTGGGGAGACAGGACAACTTGGGGAATCTCTGAGGTAGATGTGGTGCTTTTCTGTCTCACGGCACTTGACAGCTTTATCTCCCTTGAATCAAATAGCCTTCAGCCCAATGTAAACTCCTTGGCAGCAGAAACGTCCCGTGGCAATAAGTTCTATGATGTGAATAAACCCTTCTCTTCTGTTTTAAGTGTCTTGCATGCTGGCTCCATTTGCCTTCCATCTTCCTATTAATGGGATCCAGCTAGCCAGGAAGTCTGAGTCACCACATACGTAGGAGACCGGGTTCCAGTTGAATGCCTGTGATACTGTCTGATGTTGTCTGCTTATTTCAATTTGTGCTTATCCATCAGGCGTCTCTTATCTTAGATTTGACTGCAATACAAAACAAAACAGAGTCATGATCTTTCACAGACAGGCCCTGGTCCATGATCGATGACACTGTGATAATACAATTCACGATGAAATATTGTTCACAAAATATCCTGTCAGCTCTTCTAACAGCAATGTCTAGCCAAATAATTTGTGGTATTTCTGGAGATGTACATGGCACCCTGTCAGTAATTGAGCTCTGGTTGAAACTATTTCCAGAATTGAATACAAATACCCATCATAGGATAATTTAGGACGCAAAGTACCTGTGGAAGTCTTCTGGTCCAAACTGCTGATGTACTCATCATCAGCTTCAATTAGATATTTAAGAATTTCATTTGGAAAATATCTAAACGTGGAGATACCATATCCTCTCTGGGCAACCTGTTCCAACATTTGACAATGATGGAGAAAATATTTCCTTATAGCCAATTTCAGTTTCCTCTATGGCAACCTGTGTCAGTTGCCTCTTGTCATACTACTCTGCTGCTGCTGACTTGTTACCAGCTTTTTGTTCAATAGGACCCTTGGATCCTTTTCCTCAAAACTACTGTCTAGCCAGCAAGTGCCATCCTCTCCTGGTGTGTGGTGGTATTCCATCCCACATGTGGGTCTATGTGTGTCACTGAACTGCATGAGGCTCCTCTCAGCCCATTTTCCCCAGCCTTTCTGGGTCTCTCTGAGTAGCAGCTCTGCCCTCCAGTGTATCAGCTCCTGCCCTGGTTGTGTTATCCATGAGGTTGCTGAAGGTACACTGTGTCCTAGCTTTTGGGTCATTAGTAAAAACAAAGAGTATTGGTCCCAGTATCGCTCCCATTATTAGTCCCTGGGGAATGCCAGTGGTCACCAGGTGCCAAGTTGGACTTGATTCTGCTGATCACAACGATACTTCGAGCCGGATGGTCCAGCCAGGTTTCCACCCAACTGATTGTTTGTGTACCCAAATGGCCCATACAATTACTGCAGGAATCTGTTGAATACCTTGCTGAAGTCTAGATAAACAACACTGCTCACTCTTTGGGCGCTGAAATAGTCATCTCGTTAGCGAGGACAAGTTGATTGTGTACAATTTACTTCTAATCAATTTATTCAGTTATTTTATTCTCCATTTAATTGATAATGATGTCCAGGGACCTATACTTAATTGGAATTTTGTCCTGTTTTTCTGTAGGTCCTGCTTGTTGAATATGGGCAGAAAACTTGTCCCTTTTTGTTTAGCAGGAGACTACCTCAGTGTCCCTCAGCCTTGCTGTGACCTCTCAGAGGAGGTAGAGAGCAGCCTGGTAATGATTTTGGCTCCTTCACACCCTCAGATGGATCCTGTGAGGATGCCTGAGGTGGACTTTATGTTCTCTATATGTCCCAGGGGACAGCAGTGAAAAAGGCATGAAGTGCCCATCTTCTGTCCCCAGGTCTCCTGCTCTACCAAGACAGTGTGCCCCCATTTACTTTCTTTAGTTGCTGATTTATTCATAGAAGCTTTTGTTCTTGTCCTTCATAGCATTTCAGTGCCAGGACCTGAGCCTGCCATTTGTGTGAGTGTGCATGTTTGTGTGTATAGTCTGGTTTTCTGGGGACAGAAATACTAAATGCTTCCCAGTTTAAGAGAAACAGGTTTAATCACAGTCATTCTGAGTCATGTTCCAAGTCATGCTTTTTTATGCATGGCACGGGATTTTTTACACTATCCAAAGTGACATAATATGTTTATTTTATTATGGTCGTACATGACATTTGAATATCTCACAGACACTGATAAGGTGATGTTTTTCCTCCCTGAGGCAAAACTGAGGTGCTATGTACTAACACAGGTATTTATTCCTTATATTTGTCTCTTCAAACTGCAATAGTTTGGAGTTTTTTCTTGGATGTCTTAATATTATGTAATGTTTATTTTTAAATACAGTTCCTTCTGATATAACTTGCAATTAGCATTGAAAGCTTCTGCAAACTGATTCATAAGGCAGAGGATATAACAACACCCACTGAGTGGAATTTATGGCTAGATAAACAGATCAGAAATCAAGAGCTGTTATTTTCCCAAATTTGTGGTCAACCGTGATAGAAATTTTAAATTTTGTAATGAATTCGCATGCCAGCAGCTTCTAAAACAAGGTTCTGCAGTTGCCTTGATGTCTTTTAAAGTTTACATTAACTAGATTTTAGTGACTAAAGAAATAAAAGT